AGAGGGAGAAGCAGGCTACCTGCTGAGCACAGAGCCCGATATGGGGCTCGATCCCAGGACCCTGGGATCATGACCTGAGCCAAAGGCAGATGCTTAACCATCTGAGCCACCCAGGCGTCCCCCCTGATCCTACTTCTTCAAACTCAAACATCAACACTTGGGGGAGTGTTCTCTGATCCTCCCCGGCCCCTTCTCCCCAGGCCAGAACTGCCACCCCTCCCCTGGCTCTGACAGCATGGACAGCACTCCGTTACAGGACCGATGGAGTCACCTGTAGTCCAATCTCTGCCCCTAACTAGACTACATACCCTCAGTTCATCTCCAGATCCCAAATACTGACATGGTGCCTGAGCCAAAAGATACTAATAAAATCTTAAATAATTCAACTGCTTAAGCTAATCAGAACAAATCAGTCCCAACTTTATAGTCCTTTACATATAAAGTGACATATGCTAAGTTGTAAATACATAACACAAATAAAAGAACCACAGAAGTTCAAAAGATGGATCAACAAAGACCATGTTAACAACAAAAAAATAAAGTAGTCACCCTAAGTACTCATATTTCTAAGTACTTAGAAAATCTCTGTAAAATTAATTCGATTAAAAAAATGAAAATTAGGGGCACCTGGGTGGCTCAGTCGGGTAAGCATCTGCCTTCGGCTCAGGTCATGATCTCAGGGTCCTGGGATCAAGCCTGCAGAGCCTGCATTGGACCCCTGCTCAGCGGGGAGTCTGCTTCTTCCTCTCCCTCAGCTCCTCCCTCCCCCTGCTCATACTCGCTCTCTCTCAAATAAATAAAATCTTTAAATAAATAAATAAATGAAAATTAAATGAAACAAGTGAGTTTTTCCCAACTGCTCTATTTCTTTCTACATGCTTTTTAGTTGTTGCTTTGTTTTGTATTATCAAGAATTTTTGCTTTTTGGTTATTATTTAATGAGATTTTAGTGGCTCTATTCTTATCTCTCTAGATGGTGAGGACTAAGAAGGGAGCAAATGAGCTAACATTTACCGGGGGCTAAGCTTACATGCATTAATCCAACCCTGTAAGGAAGGTAGCATAATTCACATTTTGGAAATTAGGGAAATCAAGGATCCAAAAAGTTGAGCAAATTGCTCATGAATAGGGAGTTAATAAGCAGTTGAACTGGGATGACCAATTCATCTACCTATCCAGGGCTTACCCAGTTTTTACACCAGGAAATCCCCAAATACCAATTTTAAAACTGAAAGTCCTTCGTCCTGGGAATTCTCTTCAGTCCCAGGAAAACCAGGATGGTCAGCTACCCTAACTGGGATTGAAATCCAGTTCTGGCTGACTCCAAAGTCTGCACGTCCATCAGCTCCACCACTGCGCCCTTGCCTAACCACACTGGTATTAACAAAAACTTCCAAAATATAAACAAGTTAGTAAAAGATGAGTTTTGGTTTCTGTTTTTAGGGCACAGATGAACTTTACCAGTTTAAATGCTTTCTGTTTTACAAAGTTAGCGATCTTCTTTCTGGGTCCAAGGGGTATGCCCATTTCCTTCAGGTCATCAACTGTACACATAAGCTTTAAAAGAAAACAAACAAACAAGCACATTAGTTAATCGGTCTAATGATCGATAAGTGAAACTGAAATCAGGAAATGATAAAAAGAAACCATACCATCAAAAGCAACCTAAGATCTAGTCAATTTTTTAAAAGTTAATTTGCTTTTAAATCCTGGATTAATTTAGGCTGTAAAACCTGAGCCCTCCACATCTAAACCATTCTAGTCATGTTTGGCAGAAAATATATGCATGTTGTACAAAATTCAAAAGCTACACAAACAAGCAATGAAGTCTCTCCCCTCCACTCCTGTTCCAACCACCCAATTCTCTCAGCAGCCACTGCAATGTGTTCTCCTTCCAGAGACACCTTCGGTATACACAGCACCTACATGGTTTTCCTTGTGTGTGCAGCCTGCTATGCAAATGGGACTGAACTATGCTCTTTTCACGTAACGTATCTTAGAAATCATTGCCTACCATTATCTCTGACACTGCCTCATTTATTCAACAGCTGCATTCCATTACATGCATGCACCATAAACTATTTCACTGGTACCCTACCAGTGGACACAGAAGGTGTTTCTAAGGTTTTGCTATCATAAACAGTGCTGTAGAGAGTATCCTTTTAGATACTCTTGTGTGAGTATTTCTATATTTGGAATTACTCCTGGCAAATTGCTGTGGCAAAAGATTTTTGGTATTTTTTGTATTTTAAAAGGTATTACCATCTTAACTATAGGGAACAAACTGAGGGTTGCTGGAGGAGAGGCAGATGGGAGGTATGGGGTAACTGGATGATGGGCATTAAGGAGAGAACTTAATGTTATGAACACTGGGTGTTATATGCAACTGACGAATCACTGAATTCTACCTCTGACACTAATAATGTAGTATATGTTAAATTGAATTTAAATAAAAAATTTTAAAAATAAAATTTCCAACCCTACTATCATTTTAAATAGACTAAAATCTTCATCAAAAAGAAAGTTAATCCTCATTGAAAAGGAAAAAAATAAATAAAAAATTTAAAAATAATAATGAAAGGGATTACCAAATTGCTTTCCATAGAGGCTGTACCAATTTACAGTCTTACTAACAATACGTAAACCATGCCCACTTACCCTCATCCTGGCCCCATAGTATATTAACAAGCTCCTTACTTTTGCCAAACCAAAAAGTTATAAAAAACTCATTGCACTTTCAATCTGCCTTTTTCTCAAGAGTTTTCATATGACAAGAAGCCATTTGTTATTTCCTTTTCTGTGTATCATCTGTTCATGGTCTTCACCTATTCTACTGTGTTGATGGTCTTTGTGTAACTAATTCATAGGAGCTTTGAATAATAAGGAAATAAGCCCCTTTGTCTCTAATGTGTGTTCCAAATATTCTTCTTAATCTATCACTGGCCTTCAGATGTTGTTTAAGGCATCTCCTGCTATGTAATTTTTCTTTTATGGCTTCTGGGTTTTGTGCCATACTTAGAAGCCCTTCCAGATTATACTAAAAAACAAACAGGGAGCCTGGGTGGCTCAGTCGGTGAAACGTCTGCCTTCGGCTCAGGTCATGATCCCGGGGTCCTGGGATCGAGTCCCACACCAGGCTCCCAGCTCAGCGGGGAGCCTGCTTCTCCCTCCCACTCCCCCTGCTTGTGTTCCCTCTCTCGCTGTGTCTCTCTCTGTCAAATAAATAAATAAAATCTTTAAAAAAAAAAAAAAGAAAGAAAGCAATCCTCTTTGTGAAAGGATCAAAACAGGCTCTTATAAAGCTGGCTCTCAGGGCGCCTGGGTGGCTCAGTTGGTTAAGCAACTATTTCATGACTTCAGTTCAGGTCATGATCTCAGGGTTCTGGGATCAAGCCCCAAGTCGGGCCCCGCACTCAGCTTGAGATTCTTTCCCACACGCATGCGCGCACGCGCTCTTTCTCTCTCTCTAAAATAAATAATTCTTTAGAAAAATAAAGTCGGCTCCACTGTGAGTGGTGTTATACGGGGCTCCGATATACACAGGGCCTATGTTTTTTAAAGAAACAGGTAGGGCGCCTGGGTGGCTCAGTTGGTTGAGCGACTGCCTTCGGCTCAGGTCATGATC